CTGCACTGCCAACTGATGCACACGAACGTCAGAGTCCTCCGTTCCTTTAAGATATTTCCGAATTACAAAATCCCTGCCATCTGTCATTTCAAAAGCAAGTCAACTTTTAATGGTAATGGAAAAATAGGTATTATCTATAATTCCACTGGCGTAACAGCAAAACATGTTGAGTCGAGTTCAGTTTGAATCTAGAGCAAAAGAAAAACGGGCTCTCCGTTCTGAGCACATACATTATTTATATTGAATGAGGACAGTTTTATGGAAAATGCAAGATGAATACTCCATGTACTAAATAAACATGGAGACATTTTTGTACCATTTCTAAGTGCTTTGTTTTGAATCTAAAAAAGAAGCCTGGCACGTTAAAGTTGTTTTTGAAATATCCTAAAACTTTAAAACAAATAAAAACCAGTCTGGAAGACTGGATTGAAATTAAGTGTTTTACTTTATTTAAAAATCGAGATTTCAAAATGAAAATGTTTGTCATAGTTATTAATCCTCCTTCCTCAGTCGAGGACGCAGCGATGTCTTCCCACACCAATCACAACAGCTGTAAAGTCATCACTGTACCTTCTGTTCAAACTGTGACTTCATGGAGTTCCACTGAATGTCCCACTGCTTGTTCACCTCCAGTACCTGTAAGCAGCACCACAAAGTGAAACAGATGAACATATAGGAAACTGACTACACAGAGACTTTCCCTTATGGCAAAAAGAGGATGAGCAGTAAGGGCCGACAAAAAGACTCACATCCTTTCTCTGCTTCTCCAAAAGCTTGATCTTCTTTTCATACACCTCGGCATCACACGGTTTAGTCGGGGTTTTCTCTGCAGCTTTTCCACTCTGGGGGCACACCAAACATTTCTCAATCCGCAACATTCCTCCATAACTCGACCCTCACATCGTAAGAGTTTATAAATGGAGAAGTCTAAAGTCACAAGCTGATTGAGAAAACCTTTAAAATTAAATATATTTGGCATATAAATGACAGATTTACTGATATGAGGCGAAGTAAAAAAAAATAATTTCTATGTCATTTAATATAAACTACCTTCTGCGGTGTAGTGGCCTCCATCTTGGGTCTCACAGCAGCCGATTCCTCCTTCACAGGCTCCTCTTTGGCCTCTGGAGCTTCGGTGTCAGATGACGCTGCTGCGGCTGCGGCTGCTGCTGCTGCTGCTCCCGTGACGACCACCTCCTTGAGTTTTAGATTCTCCTGCCTGAATCGGCAAAGAAAATGAAAATGACAAGTCCGTGAGCAAGGTCCCTTCCCAGAGTTTGTTGAGGTTTTCGCACAGCTTCAGGATCTCCTTTGGGAAGAACCTACGATACCTTCTGAGTGCAATGACGCCAACAGAAAGCAGTGGAATAATCCCCCGGCAAAAGTGAAAGTATGGGACGAAGTCAAAACTCTGGAGGGTTTTGTCATCCAAACAGTATTCGGCGGGGGGGGGGGGGGGGGGGGGGGGGTGGGGTGGGAGAATTAGTCACAAGGTTCAAAAGGTTATGAGCAAAGCAACATAATTGTCCCAAAGTAACAAAAAAAAAAAAAGAAAAAATAATTATTTGTTCTCTTTCACCTTACTGACGATACAGTTTGTGGTCCACCAGAAGCAACACAAAGACCAGTGAAATGTAAAAGAGGAAGAAAAACATTACCTCAGCTGTTCCAAGTCTTGATTCCTGATATGATGATCCTCTTCCATTTTCTTCCGAAGCTCATTGTTCTCCTGTCTGAGCTGCTCACAGAGAGTCTAGAAAACCAGAAAAAAAAATCTCAATATCTGGCATCTGTCTGTATGACGTCAACATTCGTTTTTAGCATCTTCGTGCCGACATAGAGCCAGAAGCAGCTTCCTTCAACACGAAGGTACAATGCAAACTTTACTTTATGTGTTAGTATGTTGAATACTGTATGTGTGTGCCACCTATATGGCACAAAGTTAGTAGTCAGGCACATGGTCCAACAACGATTTTAGAAGTTTATGCGAGAGATTTTTTTAATAAAATGTGAAAAAATAGACCAAGTCACTGCAAATACGGCTTCAATTTTTTACTTTTGCAAATAAAAATGAAGCGGTAATGTGTTTCTGGTACTGCTCACTCTTTGTGTGATTGTCCATGTTATATAGGCCTTGATATTTATATTCCTTTTATTGCGAAGCACTTTGCTCACTTTGCTTAGAAATGTGCAATAGCAATAAAGTTATTACAGTTCAAATGTTCACATAAGAAAAGCTTGTGCTGTGTGCCAGTAGTAGTAGTTTAAGTGAACGTAATGCAAAGCAAATTCAAAACCCACACAGACAACTGTATAACACACCAAAACACAGATCACTTCTTATACAAAATGGGGAGATGAGTTACATTTTACTGTAAATAAAAGCAAAAAACAAACATCGCCTTTAAATGATCACATATCAGATCTCTGAATCTGGCATGTCGTTAAAGTTAATGTGTAGCATTTAACGCGAGTCAGGCAGTTGTCGTGTTGCATACCTGTAGGAGGGAAGTCCTCTGTTCATTCTTTTGGACCTTAGAGGAAAGGTGGTGAAACTCCACGGCCATGCGACCGAGGTGAGCCAACAGCTGGTTGGGGTTGGACTCCTCTGCGAATATGCTGAAGGAGCTCTGTAGTCTCTTCAGCTGGCTGGTTAGCTCGATGTTCTCCTGAGGCAGGACGGGGATTACTCCGGCCACTGACCCGGCCTGGAGATATGCAGACAGGTTAACAGTCAGTCACTTCTACTCAAGAGTGCAATGTATTTCAACCAGCACAAGACTGAAAGATCAACAAGCTGTAAAAGTCATCGTGCTACTATTTTTAGGAAAAGCTGCAGCTAATTTATCTGAAAAGTCAAACCAGTTCTTCCTGTTGGATCTAAATTTAAACCTCACATATGGTAATACTTTTACCAAACATGTTAAACTAAGCCAAAAGTAAGCTATAGAGTTTTATTATATAACCAAGAACATTAGTTTTGACAAAATACGTGTCAGAAATATTCTGGCATCGTGTGCCATTAACACATCCTCTTGGATGTAGTGTGTGAATGAATCAGCGGTGTAACTTCAGTCAGTAATAATCCTGGACTTTCCCCTGGCTGACTCAGGCTGGAGCTACCAGTATTGAGTTTGTTGGTGAGTCACCGCACCAAGGATATGTTCCTAATATTGAGACAATGGCTATCAAAGAGGAAAGGCTAGCCTAATTATACAACACAAAATAATTACTTTTGGGAGTGAGCACCAGGAGCAGTGTCATATTCAATTGTTTGATCAAATTAAAAAGTTTTTTTTCCCCCCCATTCTTTTGAGTTCCTGTGGTAGTTGTTAAATTATTCGTCATAATTTGTGTCGCAAAAAGTCTGGTACGTACGATCAAGGCGGCAGAAGTCTTCCCATCTACATTCACGACCTCAAACTCTGAGGCCTCCTGTAAAAAAAAAGCAGCACTTTAGTACACGCACCGACTGTAATTGCATCAATTAACTTGGAAGAATAAAACAAACATCCTCCTAGTTGAGAGCAGTCTCTGCCTTTAAAATCTCTGCATCTGTCATTTACAATCTTCACAAAGTTGTTTCTGTCTGTACCGAAAGCTCTCACTCACAGTAGAGGTTACTTACAATGGGCTTCTCAGAATGAAGGGCCTTCCCTAAACAGCTCGTTTGCTCCTCCTTCTGCTCTGCAGTGGGGTGTAAACAGTGTTTACCTGAAGCAATACCAAAACCAAGGTTAAGTTTCAGTTTAGTAGAACAGCCCTATGAGTACAGCGTGAATACAAATGTGAAAATATGTCTAGTTAATAACTTAAATTAACAATTACCATCAAGTATGTGAGGCCTACTTTGTGTCTCAGTCTGAATGGGCCCCCCCATACACAGACTGGCGGCAAAGCTGGAGGACTTGAGGGCCTCGTTGTCTCTCACCAGTTCCTCCACTCGCTGCCGAAGCTTTGATGCCTCCGATTGAGACTCTTCCAGCAAATCACCTGCAAGTTTCAGAGAGATCTCGTCTCCGTCCAGCAGCAAGTTTACATGATCTAACTTCATTTTTTTTTTTTTTTTTTTAACAAACACTGCTTCGACTAGATCTATCAGCACGAACAGTCATCAAATATGACATGATAGCAGTTCGGTGACAAACTATGTGCAAGTAGCACTCCTTTGGTGAGTCACAAAATGAGCAATCAGGCCGTTCACATCGCATGCATGCTTTTCAAACTACAAATGAAGATCGTCCAGCTTTGCTACATTCCACTTCATTTGCAGCACAACAGTTCCCCTTATACATACACACAAATATGTGTGGAAAAACATCCCCAGATGTTCAGACAGATGTGTAACGCCAAAGAGCAGCTGGCATTAGTCCTCGGTCCTTAGCTTTCAGGTAACCATGCTGTCTTTGGGAACCTTACCTAAGCTTTTAAGTCCCTTCATCCGCTCCCTCAGTATGCTGTTCTCCTCCAGTAGCTGTCTGTAGCTGCTTCCCCCTCCGGCCTCGTCCCTGGCCTTGACCTCACTCCCACCTGGATCATAGATGCGGTACGGGCCTTTCCCTTCCATCGCCGTCGCTCACTTCCTAGACATGGTTCTCTGAACTGTAAAAAGAAGAGACAAACAGTTCATGTCAGCTGACTTCAAAACAAATAAAGTACATGATACTAGTAGGTAGAGGATTAAAGAACACCTATTTAAAAAAACGATTTACAGCAGGACTGAGTACTTGTGTTCCTTCACCCTTTGCAATGAGAGAAGCCACTTTAACATTGACAAAGACACATTTGAATCCCGGGTTGAAAGGTGAACTGATCATGTATCATGGAAAGTATGGTAGGTACATTATGAGAGCAACCAACATCAAATGTCGACACCCAACTGTTTAAGCAGAGGAAGGAAATAGTTGAACAGAAGCATTGGCTGAAACGTTAGAGTAAGAGGAAAAATAACTTACCTACACTAGAAACCCCCTTGAACCACAACGTGTACTGTAGCACTATTACAAACACTAAGAAATAAAACAAATGGGTGTTTGTTACTTCTTGATCACGGATTAAATAAATACCACCCACTCAGATACTGTATGTACTTTGAGCTACCAGGCTAGAAAGCCCTCTTTCTCACTTCATAATTTACAGCAGTGACAAGTGAAACTATCGGTGAAGCACAGCGAAGAAAATACAGATTAGCCGACAGCTTTGAGAGGACAAAAGCAGCAACATTTGTCACCACAGCGCTACCCTGCCAGAGTGAAACATATGGCAAGAATGTGCTAACGTTTGTGATGGCTAAATATGACAACTACATCGTTCATATCCGAGGGAAAAAAGGACAAAAGCAGAGGAAAAAATGGTAAATGTTTGGTGAATCCTGCAAACAAACATCTAACCAATAGTCGAGAGTCAAATACTGCACAATCCAGCAAATGATAGCTACCTTGATTGGCTGAAGAAGGCTAATATTAGTTTTCGCTGTTGTCATGCAAATTGCTAGCAACATCCTCGTTAGCTCTCGGCTAGCTAACACTAGATGACAGTGCGGGACAGGAAGCCGCTAGCGCTTCTTTTTTTACCCACTAATAATACTTTTATTGATGCAGTAAGTCAGTTGGAAAGCGCAGTTAAGCGACAAACAAAAGAACAAAGAGGTGTCTTTTGTCTGGATACCTTTCAGTTCGCAGTGGCCTCTCGTCTCCCTAGCCCAGCCATCTATTGCGGAAGTGGTCTACTGGTCTATGCTGTAACCCGGGAATTTCCACCTCGTTTGATGTAAACAACGACTGATTGACAGCCCAGCGGACCAATCAGGACACAGCGCTCTGTCAGCGGGACACCAACGGGAGCCGCTGGCCGTAATGTAAACACTGGAGCAAAATGCTTCACATTTTCATATGAGTTTGGAAGAAGTTTTCACCAGAATGACACATGGTGGACTTTTAAATATGTTCATGAATAATGATAATAATAATATATAGCAAGAATGGCTCATATGACACAATGGCACGGGTGAGTAAAAATCAAAACCAGACCGATTTTTCTCTTGAGTCATAATTATTTTTATTAAGCAGCTTCTTATTCTTTTTTTTTACCTCTTGTAATTCACGTTTTATATTCCGGGGACAAACCCAACCATTTTCACAGAATTACTTGTTTCTTCATTGATAAATTTAGAGAAGGGGCTGGTGGGGGTTTCTGTTATTGCATCACACATTTCCTTTGAACCAGAAGGGCAATAAGGCTTGTTCAAGTTACACTGAATTTTATACGTCCAAACTATAGGATAACAAGAAATATCTGGTATGAAAGCTGCTGTGAGACATAAGATATTCATATTATGATTAGTGCAACACACTATTATTTTCATTAATGATTAATCTGACGATTATTTTTCTTTATCAATTCGTTTTTCAGTCTATTAAATAAAATAAAGAATAGTTAAAAATATGCCCATGAAGCTCAATTTGACTATTCAAACTGGTTGCTTTGTACAACAAACAGTCCAAAAACTTTAACACACTCAGTTTATAGAAGTAATGCACAACACACAGCAATACGCTATGTATTCATATTTGAGCAACAGAAAAAGAGTTAAACAATATGTCAATTATGAAAATAGTTGTTGATTAGTTGTATGTCAATCGACTAATAATGAAGGAATCCTTTCAGCTCTGACTGTGACATGTCAAATGTGGTTACTGTAAAATAATACCACAGTGAAGTTTAAATGTAATGTTTTCCTGATCTTGAAGTCAAATGCAATATATTTTAAATGTTACATGTAAAGAGGTGTTTGTTGAGGATCACTGTGCCACAGTTCTTTGAACTTTATTTCAGGCCCCTGACAGAGATTAATGATTTAGAGCAATAGTGACATCTTGTGGGAATAAACAAACAGGTAATCTGTGGTCATATTTATTCCCGAGAGAGTTACAAAGATCATTCTTCAGTTAACTGGAAGCACAAACTACTTCTGATGCATTTCATCTTGTGATCATTTACAATTAGACTGACCCATACAAGGGTACTTGGTAATCCCAACCAAGTATTGTTCATTTCTAATATTCTGTAATGGGTTAAAATGATCACTTTAACTACCACAAAGTCTATGAATCACAAGTAAAATATGCCACTGCTTGACAACACAGAGACTTAAGACAAACACCCTCCATATAATTTTAGACTTTAGAGCATCAGCCTTGGAGGTCTTATCGGAAAGCGTGTTGTGTTAACACAGGAAACACCTAGTTTCCAAATTGTGTTGCATTACACGTGACATGATTCATGATAAATTAATCGAAACTAATCGGAATCACACCCTTGTTTTTCTATTTATGTGGCCACGATTAATATTACATTATTACACAAAACGAAAAAAAAGTGCACATTGAGGGTGTACACCATACTAAGGAACAACTACTGTGAAAACTGCTGTAATAGAGAAACCAGTTTAGTAATAGTTTAGATAATAAAGTAAAATAGATACCTTCAAATGCAGCTTAAAACCACATTCATTAACAAAAGGACAGACAATATGATTTTAGACCATATGGTATGTCGACCAGCAGCGTCCCATTGGCCAGAAAACACTGGAGAGCTGTCAGCCGGCCACAAGAAAAAACAAACATACAGTTCGCAGGGCGTGCCACCGAACACCTTGTCCTTGTTAATAGGGGCACAATGTTTCCATCACCGGCTGATGGAATAATAAACAGGCTGGTGCACAAAAACAAAAGCCAGAGGACACAGGAAATGTCACCGATCTCTTAGTCCTCCTGGGTAACAAAATGTACACTTTGTTTTCTCCTCCCACCTACTTTTTCCGTACAATATTTTAAAGCATTTTTCCTCATTGCACAAAGACAGTGGAAAGGGGTAATCGTCAAAGCCCACAGTGTAACAAGTACAGAGTATGCACCCCACCCTGCTGAGACACGAGGACGGTCCAGTTTCCAATCTCCAAGATCAGGAATCAGCAGCTGATAGTCATTATCGCTGTGCTGCTTAAAACAAAATATCCTTTTGTTAGCCGACTAGTGACTCCGGCTGTCCTCTCGAGGCCTTAGACCAGGGGCATAGCTGAAGAGTCTCTATCACGATGCAAAAAATGTGGAGGACGTGCACTGGAACTAAATAGGCTTCAATGTTAACTCCAACAGGCTCTTCATATCAAGTTTTATTGAAAATCAAAACTATGACCAAGAAACCAGAGGTTGATAAGTACATTGTTCTCAAGCTTATGTATAAATAATAATACCAATAAAGAATATGTTTTATATTTAAGTTTAAAAAATGGTGTTGTTTTGTTCTTAAAATGGATTTGACATCAATATTCGTGTTGTAATGAATTACAAAATCATATCTACCAGCAACGTATTTCCTTAAGCAAGCAAGTACCCCCCAGGACATACAATTATAGAGCTCACAGAATTTCTTTTCTCGTATATAGTGCAGATATTAATCCTTTCATTATGTTACATGTTCCAAACACAGAACAATAACGGCTGTTTCAGTGACAACATACAAGTTATTCAACCTGCCTTGAATAAAATAACAAAACAAGACAAGATGATTCCACAAAATACTGATAATAAATCTAATATGCTCCGTTACAATACACCTCAAATTTTAAAACAAATAAACAACAACTCACCCACACATTCAGCTTGTGTCGGAGAGAAGCGCTTTTTAAGGAAACTGGTGAACGGGGGGGAAGCAATCAATGTGAGGTTGGGGAATTCCCATAAAATGGACTGATACTGTACGCTGAGCCTGAACACAACCTGGTGTTTGTCCAACTGTGTGGCCTGCCTTCATTGAGTAACACTACACATGAAAAAGACTGAATGCATTTAGTTAATCTTGTACGGTAGCTTGCAGCATGCACACCACAGCATTTCAACAAAACTCAATGAATAGAGGAGGCCACAAAAATATCACACAACGACATGAAGAGAGCAGCATTCACAAAAAAATGTACAGATGACCTCTAAAACACACTGACTTGTATATACAGTACAATATATGCAGCTCAGTAAGTGGCTTGTTTTCACGGTCACATCGTGATGCCACTATAATCATGGAGACTGCCGATAAAAAAAAGTCAAAGGCTAAAGTAACACCCATAACGCTCTCTGAGGAGGCAATCGTTTTGAAATATGTGAACTTCAAATTATTTAATGCAAGCTGCTCTGAACAGCACCGCAGCACAAACTTCCCCCAACTGTCAAAAGGGTATTTCAAAATTGTATGTGTGACATTGGCTGCATTTTACCAATGTGCTACTGAAGTTATCTCTTAATACCTCACAATTATCATCAAATGGAGCAATTTCAGGTTGGGTGGGGCCATTAAAACCGGAGTGTGACTGACTGCTGCAGACTCTATTTGTTGCCTTGGATTTTGGCGTACTGCAGGGGATTTCCGCGCCACATGCATCTTTTTTTCTCCTTTCCTCTTTTAACTCAAAGATGGCCTGACAACAGCTGCGCTCACACGTACGCATGAACTGAGACATTGACAAGAACAGAGACAGCTGTCTTGTACTTTTCTTCTGCATTTACAAATATACAAGACGAAATGAAGGGTTAAGTGACATGTTAATACGGTTGAGTGTAAACGACATATTTGCTCCTCGCTCATTTAAATGTGTAGGGTTATAGATGACTGTTCAGTCATGGTATAGTCGGGTAGCCAAGGAAGTCATGCTATACCTCTATAGTGTGTTTAAATTTAAATACTCAGCAAGAACCTGATTAGTTTAGATTTAGGACTACAGTATAATCCAATATCAGTTTGAATGAATTGTTTGTATTCTGTAAATATAACCCTTTGTTTACACATAGATAACCTTTATGAATAACAATAGATTATGGGTATGTTTGCTTTTATTAAGCAGAAGAGACATTGAATTGGAGCGGTAGTTTCCTGATGATACATATTCTAGTTCTCATTCTGCTCAGCCCATTGCTGTATCAACACAGGTAATCATTGAACTGCCCTGCCAAACACAAACCAGGGCACCACACCCAAAAAAAAAGAAAAAAACACCAGGAGGGAACATGTTAGCTAGCATGATTTACATTTCACATGAACTTCATTTATTAAAATGTTTTCCAAGAAGAAGAAGAAGAAGAAGAAGAAGAAGAAGAGAGAGAGTACATCTTTTGTGTTTTTAATCATTTTATTCTATATGATACCTTAAAACCACAGTAATCATTGGACAGCCGGCAATCTGAAGGCACCATTCCACTTGTTAATTTCCAATATGCTGTACATGTGAAGCACCTTTCTACAGCGACGTGAACATCTTCATGTCACATATGATGTGTAAAAAAAAAAAAGAAAAAAAAAAAGATATCATCCTGACAGACAGAAAACTGGCTTGGAAGGCCGGAAGGTCATGGGTCACTTGGTTTGGCTAAGGAGAGGCAGCAGTTTCGGGACACTGACAACAGATACTGACATTAACCATCGCAGTTTCACTCAGTGACCAGGCTTGTCTTGTGGGTTTTCATTGATGTCTGTGAACGGAGCTGCAGAGACTTGATGAGTTTAATCTTCCCCTCCACAGAGCACCAGCAGGGTTTTACGGTAGTCTCCTGAGGTGTCACCCTGAACAACGATGGAGAACACACACAGAGGGAGCTTGAATTAATGGGAAATACTGTCTTTGTCTGCTGACATTTGGTCATCACAGAGCTGAAACTGGGAAGCAGGGTTTATTCTTTTCACTCACACAGTAGCAAAACACTGTTAATCTCGCACTAATGTTGAATGGATGTGAGTCACAGCGATCAAGTGGAATTACCCAGTTGTTATTATTATCAGCTGACACTCATAGATACAGATTTGTATCTTTATAATCATCATCACAATTGTCAAGTCTAAATCTTTTTTAAGAACTAGTTCCTCAGTAAGCCATTTAATTTCTTGCCGAGGGTTAGATAAAAAGATTGACACCACTCTTATATCTGTACGGTAAATGTGAAGATACATTCAGCAGCTGGTTAGCTTAGCTTAGCACAAAGACTGGAAACAAGGGGAAACAGTTAGCCTGGCTCTGTAGAAACAACATCCAACTACCAGAACTTTTAAAGCTGGAGCTGGTAGCTTTAGAGGTGCCAGTAGGTGGTTTTTACAGTACAGACATTAGATCTCTTGTGCAACTAAATATGACTGCCTTAATATAAACAGAACTGCACAACTCCAAAAAATGCAAGTACAATTTCTTCTCTATATCCACACTTCAGAATATAAAGCAATCCTTGCTGTTGCATGATTTGATAATATTTCTGGCAAAGTCAATACAGGGCCTCCATACTTGCTTGTTTGCATTGGTGTCACGGTGATTTCATCTGTACGTTATTATAGAACTGTTTGCGGGTACTTCCTGTCTCTGCGGCGGCCAGCCAATCACATAGCGGATATAGAGAGGAAGTTAATAAGCATGCAAGGGAAATTCCTTAACCACCCCCACCCCCC